GTTCGCGCTGCTGCCGCTGCTACCCGCGCCCGGCGCCGCCGCCGCCCCGGCCCCGCGGCCTCCTGCGCTGTCGCCGGCGGCCGCGGGGCCCAGCGTGAGCCTCTACCTGAGCGAGGACGAGGTGCGCCGGCTCATTGGTGAGTAGGGGCCGCCTGCTCCGGGGTGGGCAGGTCGGGCCCGACCCCGGCTGCTTCCGGCTGCCTGCGGCCCAGTCCGCGGGCCGGGGACCGCGAGCAGGTCACGTCCCAGTACTCGGGGTCGTCCCCGGGCCTTGGCCTTTGCCTGCCTCGCTGGCCGGGAGGTGTGGTCCCTGCCCGGCCCCCGCCCCAGGTCAGCCTTCCGGCCTACCCCCTTCGCCCTCGCTGCCCCGCCGCGAAAGACCTGGGATCCACCCCGTTCCGTCCTCCTCACAGCCCCTTCAGCCTTTGGCCCTATTCCGCAGTCAAGCGCCCTAACTTTTCTTCCCTGCCGCACCAAGTTTCTTTGACCATTCCTGATGCGTGTCATTCTAGGGCCCTGGATTTTGGATACCTCGAGTCCACGTTTATTTAGACCAAACCTGCACATTCTTGCCTGTGGTTTTGACGACCACAATACTGTGCTCTTACTTTCTTGTTACCATACTTTTTTTTTTTTTTTTAAATGAGGCGGGAGGGGGGAAGGGAGAAAGGGCACTACACGTTAGTGGCAGTCTTCAAATCTTGTGACCGAAAAGCATAATTTTCAATGGTGAACGAATCTTCCGGTAGCAGACCTGCTAACTTCTCCAGTATCTTTTTGGTTCTTGTCTTGGATGTGTTGGACTGTGGACTGTTTGTTCAGGGCCTCCTTTGAATACCTTGTAGGGAAAGGAGAACTTAGCTTTGGGTCAGTTGGTTGTTCTGTTGTACGTAATTAGCTTTGTCGTTTGGGGAATTGATTTGAAAAATAATGGTGTTCTTGTGCTAAGACTTTGTGGATTCTGGAAATGAGCCTTAGAGGAAGGTCTGAGAGAAATGGCCCCAAATGGGAAGTCTTTGGTAGTTGCAGATACCTAGACATTTCTTTGTGTGTTAGACTTTCTTTTGTGTGTTGCGGCACAGAATAACATTTCCCCTCTCTTCATTTAATCTCGAGTTTGTGGTGTGTCTGTGTGATGGGGGGGGGGGGGGAGAATTTTTTTTTTTATCATCCATTATCTGTCAGTTTTATTCTTTTTTTTTTAAGTTTATAAGACTTTCTTGAGGTCGACTCAAAGTTGAAATGGTATTGCTTGCAGCGGTCTGTTTACACGTTGTTACATATATGGGTTTGTAGTCTTTAATCAAAGAAGAATGCTGAGTTTCTGTAATGTCCTGCCCTTCTTAATCCTCTTTTTAGTCTAGTTGAACAAGCTAAATTTAGTTGAGATGAATTAAAACTGCAAATTAGGTTAGTACTTGGAACATAAAACTAAGATTTAGGAAAAATACTTATAAATCGACTCGTATCACATAATTATTTTTAAAAATTAATGCATTATGCATGGGTTTTAAAGGTTTCTGTTTTTGTTTTTGGTAAAAGCAAGTACTGCATATGATTTGTGGCTTTGTTTATATATAAGAATAGGTGTTAGAAACCAGCCAGGTGGGGATGAGGGACAGGGAACAACCAGAGGCTAACATTGATTGAGTGCCTGCCATTTACCTGCCCCTTTATGTTTTATACACATCATTTCCTCTAATTTTCTTATGACCCAGTTAAGTAGACACCATTATTTCCATTTTAGAGTTGAGAAAAGTGAGGCTTTAAGTAACTTTCTCAAGGTCACATAATTTATAATCATTAAAAAAAATTAAACATAATGTTGACATAGGCCACAAAGTTTTATTAAGGGTAATGAAGATATTGTTTGTATAGAGGTTTTATTATGGCATGGTGGAAAAGAAATCATTGCTAATTAATACTTGAAATGATGTGTATGTATTTGTCACCCGACTGATGAGCATCCAGGTTCTGCCCAGGAATGGGCTGTGGGAAGGAGGGGAGGGAAGATTGCCTCACTGACCAACCTCTGGGGCAAGAGGGACCTCCAGTAGTATTTTCTTTAATGCAAATAGAGTGGACTTGTTACCGGGAGTTTGACTCTCCTTCTTGCCAGATCCATGTCCATCTCCCTCATCCATTCTACCTTTAAAGTATTCCTTGGCTGCTCCTGGGGGCAGAAGAACAAGTGGGTAGGGTTCAGATCTGTACGAGGCATATTGAGTTCTCAGACTGCAGTTTCTCACAGAAACTCTTAGTGTTTAAAACTACTTGAAATAATAGTTTGTACCATATTTTTGTATCATGATGGGTTAAATGCCTCTGAACGCTGACTTGGGAAACTAACCATCATTTTGTAATATATCTAAGACAATGAGTTTGGAATTCCAAATAAAAAACTTGTAAGTGAAGTTGATAATGACAGCTTTATAAATTGAACTAATTGCCCTTGATATGAGAATAGGTTGTTGTTTTAATCCAATTAATATATGCACACAGTTAAAAAATCAAATAGTGCTAAAAGGCTTAACATAAAACAACAGCGTTCTACCCTTAGCCTCTTTATCCTCCACGTCCTATTTTACAGTGGAAGCCACCATCTCGTACCAGTTATAGTTCTGTTCATTTATTTTCCTGGTTTTTACTTTCATATTTTGAAATTAATGTAGAATAGGGACTTGACTTTCTAGTATCATAAGTGATCATTTGCCCTGTTCTCTCTCAGTCCCTCAATATAGCTACATAACAATTTTTAGTAAAACCAACCATCAGAAATGACATTATTGTATAAAAATTTATTGCTCACTTCTGAGTTAAATAGTGATGCCAGATTATGTGGGGGTTTTTCTCTGTTTTTTTTTTTTTTTTTCCCCTGGAGCAAATAATTGCCTTCAAGTTTTTGATTAGTTTTTCGTGTATCTATGGCTACATTCCTCAAACACCAAGAAATATGTTCAGTGCCTTTTGATATTTTTTCCAGGTAGCACAAATCATCCCTCAGTTCCACTTGGTTTCCTCTTAGAGACTCCCTTGCTCAGGAGCCTTCCATTCTCTTGCTTCAGTCTGGACAGTAGTATTATTTTTTTCTGTGATTTCTGTTCCCTTCTCTTCTGCCTTGGAGCCTGTTTCCTGGATCACTTGTTTTCTTTTTCTTGGTTTGCCTCATTTGCTAAAGGGTACCCTCAGTGGCTTCCATGGTAGGTAAATTATTTGAGGCCTTGCATGTCTGAAGGTGTCCAAGCTAGATACTTTCTAGATGATTTATAGATGCTTTATAGATGATTAGGCTAAATTTAGAATAGTAGGCTGAAAATATTTTTTTCCATAATTTTGATGACATTTTCACAGTTTCTGGCTTTATAAAGGTTTTTTTTTTTTTTAAAGTTTATTATTTATTTTGAGGGAGCAAGAGCAAGAGCGAGCAGCAAAGGGGCAGAGAGAGAGGGAAAGAGAATCCCAAGCAGGCTGTCACTGTCAGTGTGGAGCCCGATGTGAGGCTTGAACTCACAACGTGAGCCGAAGTGGACCAGCTGAGCCACCCAGGTGCCCCTGGCTTTAACGGTTTCTGATGAAAAATCCAGAGCCATCTGATTCCTTTTATTTTTCTTTGTTTTCTTTTCTTTTTTTTTTTTTTTTTTTTTTAATTGAAGGTAAGCATCTTTTTCTCCAGCATTCTGAAATTTTGTAAGTTTTTGTGTGGGTCCTTCTTCTCACCTGTTGTCTATTTTATTTTATAGGCCCTTTGGCCTATAGACTCATATTTTTTCAGTTTTCGAGAATGTCTATTACTTTGATAATTTCCTACCCTTTATTTTTTGTTTTTTCTTTTTGAGACACGTGTTGGTTTGATTATTGAATATCCTGGAATTGATCTTCAGATACTCTTTTGTTGTCTGTTACTTACATCTTTGTATTTGGATGTGGACAGTAGCAAGGGGATCTTCTCAATTTTATAGGCTTTTATTTAAAAAATTTTAATGGTGGTGTTTTTAAATTTCAGAAGGTTTTTGTTCTCTGGTTTCATTTCCATTTAATTTCATTTTCTGTTTCCATTTTCTTATTTTATGGATATTTTATCTTTGAGGTATGTGTCTATTTGATTTTCATTTTTTCTATATGTTTAATATGTTTTTAATATTTCTTCTGCTTCCTCCAGTGTGCTTATTCATTTCTTTTTATGTTTGTTTACATCACAAACATCTGGTGGTCCTTGGCTGTCTACAATTAAGAGTGAGATGCTGGAAAGTTGATCAGGAGAGAGAGTGTGTGTGCTGGTGGTCTCATGACTTCCCTTGGAGTACAGGTAGACTTTTTATGGGGCATCTACCTCACATAACAGTACCTTCACATCCTCCTTGGGACTAGTGTCTGCAGAGAAGGTATCTCCAATAGCCTGCCTCTGGTGTGTTTGGCAATACACTGATTGTCTGGGTTTGGGTTATCTGGTTAAGGAGGGATGGAGGGTGCCACCATTCCCGGTATAGATTTGGACTTCTCTTTATTGTTCTTCTGCCTCTGTGGTTCAGTTTCTTCAGAAAAAACTTAGGGTCTCCTGCTGGATCTGGGAGCCCACCCCTTATAGAAGCTCCTCTTTGTCAAGCCTGAGCCTCAGGCTGGCCTTTGGTGCCTGAGGGGTCCTGAGGAGCAGTGACCACTTCTTCACCTGGCTCCCCTCCTGAAGAAGTTTGTTGAAATTTATGATGTGTTGTTGTCTTTTTCCCCTTTGTGTTTGTCTTTGTGGTTTAATGTCTTTGTGATTTCATTAGTTTCCTTTCAGGGAGTTGGGGAAGAAGTGGGGATAAAGGTGAGTGGTCATTTCACAATATGTAAATGACAGGATTGGGCTTTTTTTTTTTTTTAATGTTTTTTCCTAACGTTTATTCATTTTTGAGACAGAGGGAGACAGAGAATGAATGGGGGAGGGTCAGAGAGAGAGGGAGACACAGACTCTGAAACAGGCTCCATGCTCTGAGCTGTCAGCACAGAGCCTGACGCGGGCTTGAACTCACGGGCCGCGAGATCATGACCTGAGCCAAAGTCGGACGCTTAACCGACTGAGTTACCTAGGTGCCCCAGGATTGGGCTTTGACTATTGAAGAGCTGTTGATGTATAACAGGGTTTGTGTTTTTTTTT